AATTTAGCGTTGGAGTCAAAGCTTGTGCTGAACGAGACAAAAAGATTAAGGGCAGGCCTCATCCGTTTTGGAATAAAGGTAGGGGTGCCACAAGGGCAAGGAGAAAGGCCTTAGGAATTTCCTGCCCCTAAAAAGCAACAACAAATCAAAGCTACACGTGTGACTCAAGGGGGATGGGGTTCACCCCGAGTGGGTACATGCAGTGTTGGTTTAGAGTCATTACAGATACACCAATAAAGGCACTGTGAACTCTTCCTCCACAGCTAATAAGAACTGCTAGCGGCAGGCATGTGTTGAGGAGGAGTCGGGGCGGGGTGGGGTGGGGTATGGGAGTGGGGTAGTCTCTGTATGGAGGCCCTGAGAGGCCATTAGAAGTGAAGCCTGGGTTGCAGTGAAGACCCCAATAGCTTGGAGATGTCAGAGTGGTAAAACCTCTGCCAAGGATAGTGTGAATTTTAATATAGTAATTTTTTTTTTTGGCAAACATGTGTATGTGTGTGTGTGTGTATTGGGACTGAACCATGGATTTCATACATGGTAGCTCTACTACTGAGCTATATCCCTCCATCCAGAGCCAAATGTATTTTAAAATGTCTTTCTGTCAATGAAAAGCAGAAACATGGCTGCCTAGCACAAATGAGAAGCAAAACACCCAAACCACAGAAGCAGATAAGTACTGCACAGCTATTTTCAAGCAAAGCCGGGCTCAGTGCTTTGCCAAGAATATTAGCAGACAGAAAGATCTCTTACTAACAGAAGCTAATACTACTTAAAGGCTATTTAAAACAAAGCAAAAGCATAGGTTAAAAAAAAAATCCCAATGATTAGACATTAGGGTCTGCACATGGGAGAAAACTTACTGTTGGAACAGGCCTACACAGGACAGTGGACATTTCTTCAAAGGAAACATACAAATGACCGGGCAGGACACAAAAAATGCTCAAAGTCACCTTTACAGGGAATATATTCTTAATGACACTTCAGTCAAATTCACTAAAAGTTATCATCAAACCTTTGTGGGAAAAAACTAACAATACATATTTTGTCTGTTTTACATAATTAGGTACAGAGTATCATTCCAATGACCAAATTATTGTGTAAGAAGATCTGAGACAAAGTGCCCTGATGTTCAATGCAGGGGCACCTGGGGCAAGAGGTCGCAGAGAATAATGAGGTATCTGAACACATCATTGTGTTGTCTCGTAATAAAGCTTGTACCTAGGGCTGGAGAGATGGTCAGTGGTTAAGAGAATTTGCTGCTCTGTCTGAGGACCCAGGTTTGATTCCCATCTCCCACCTGGCAGTTTAAAACCACCTGTAACTCAAGTGTGAGGGTATCCAATACCTGCCCCCATGGGCCATGGGCTATGGGCATCTAGCATGTGTGTGTGTGTATGTGTGTGTGGGGGGGGTGTGGGGATGTGACATACATGCAAGAAAAGCACACGCCTAAAAATAAGTAATTCCTCAAAAAATAAAGCTTGCTTCTGAATTTACTCAGATTAGAGAAGATATTAAATATTTGTAGGAGGACAATGAATCTGAAGGTCAAGCCATGAGAGACAGAGAGAGAGAGAGAGAGAGAGAGAGAGAGAGAGAGAGAGAGAGAGCAAGTGAGAGAGAGATGATTTTCCATCTTGCCCAAGTCGCCCTTGAGCTGTTGGGCTCGAACAATCCTTCTGTCTCAGATCTCCAACTGTCTGGGACTATAAACATGTGCCAACACATTCAAGGGAAAATTCAGTTCAGTGAATGTTTGTTGGAATTTATTATGGGCTGCTTTTCCAAATGCAGGGGTTTAGCGGATGAAACAAGTTCCTTGCCCCAAATGCAAAATAAGCCCACATGCAAAGAGAATGAGCCATGCCATGACAGAAGCATCAGTCGGAGTGGCATGGCCATCAGTTAGGGAGAATCTGAGAAAGTGTCTGTGGACGCCAGAGACAGTGTGCGTGGGTTTCTGCTCAGCACAGGCGGACAATCCTATCTTCTTTATTCCTATCAAGAGTGAAAATTCTTCAGCTCTGAATATAGAATACTTATTGAAAATCTTGGCTTAGAGTTTTATAGATGTTAGGAATTAATTATATTCTTTATAACACAAAACTATTAAAAAGCTAAAAGGCAGAGAACCTGGGCAAATAGCCGAGACTTTCTGTTTTGGTAAGTTTAGCTCATTTTCAGGATAAAGTAAGCCAGTTCCCGAGTGTGACTAAGCACCAGTTAGTTGTCAGTACACATCTTCTTGGGCCACCTCCTAACGTGCCATGAGCTATGTGAAGATGATGAGTATAATCTCCATCACAGTGAATGGTGTGTTGAAGATGCCCAGAACCTGGGTATTAAATGAAAGCATGGGCAATTGTATATGTAAAGCAACCTTCTCCCCACTCAACTAATTAACAATGCATTTTATGGAAGGACTTGTTATGATGTCTTCGAATAATGAAGGCATCCCTGTAGGAGACAGATACAAGTGAAGGCTTACTGTTAATGTTAGCACATTCACTCACGGTATGGCTTTAAAAATGAATCAAAACAAGGCTGGATTTAAAAAAAAAAAATCCTACTTCTAAATCTATTCATTAAGTGACCAGTTTCCTTTGTTCCAGTCTTAGATGTCCTTTAAAGAGAAAGGTGCAGGAGGTAAACAAAGGGGCAGCTGTCACAGCCCTCTCTGCAGACACTTCACACCTGCTAACCAAACTGCGGCTGATCTTGAGGCCTTTGTGGATCTGCGGTCTGCTCTACAGAGTACACAAACCAGCTAACCACAGAATCATGCAGAGCGGAGTGCTCTAGACCAGATTTTCTATTGCTTTTGGTAGGCAAGTCGTGTGTAGGGAATATTACTGACCCAAACTTCTGTAGAAGAATTTGCACAAGCTGATTGTTGGAGGGAAAGAGATAAAAAAAAAAAGAGGAACATATACTCAAAATTAGCCGCAGAGTCCAGGAATGTTGATGTTGCTGATATTAAGCAAATGAACAGCAGATGGCTGTCTCTGTTTTAATGGTGAACCTCCCATTAAATTAAATTAAAACATTTAATGTTTTAATGCCCTATCCCTCCTGTGGTCACAGTCTGACATGGGCATCTATCTGTCTGTGTTCAGTTGTCTGAGGTCCAAGCCTCACTCCTAGGACACAATATTTCCCTGGGAGTTATTTCAACTTTAGATATAATATGGAAGGGCTTTTAATATAGTTTTCTGAGCCTCTCTCCTCCCGAGAGGTAGCATGGGACACTGACCTATTCGAGTAAATATCTGACTGGAATTAAGAATCTGAACAGACGCTGGAGAGATGCCTCAGTGGTTAAGAGCAATGCTGCTCTTCCAGAGGTCCTGAGTACAATTCCCAGCAGCCACATGCTGGCTCAGAACCATCTGTAATAGGATCTGATTCCCTCTTCTGGCACACAGGCATACATGCAGTGTCTGTGCAGTGTTCCTAAGGCAATGAAAAGTTTGGGTTCATACATTTGGCCACTGTCACCCTAGCCATACTTCCCCCAACGTAAGACAACTCTGTCTTCACTTCCTTCCTCCTTGAGTGACTTCCTTCTGCCTATGTCCAAGTCTGCCCTTCCCACCCTCCAGTTATTTTTTAAGCACTGTGGTCTCCTTATGACCTTGCAATGCATTGTCTTTCTCTGAAGTTAGTTAAGGCTGCTTTTACTATGCGCTGGATGCATATGGGCTGGTGTCCTAGAGGGGAGAACAGCAGCTCCAGCTGGAGAGGGCAAACCCTTGCTCTACCACTTTAAAGCCTGTCAAGCAGCATTGTGTAAATCATGCTGGGGACTTGTCTGAATCTCTTCTCATGTTTCTTTCAGGTAATCCCTAATTGAAAATAAATACTAGGCAAGGGCAGTATTAGGAAGCTATCAAAATTTGTTTCCATCCTTTTCCTTCCTTTCTTTTGCCCTTCCTTCCTTCTTAAAGCTAGACTCACCCTGTGTAGCCCAGGCTGGTCTAGATCTCACAGTCAGTGTGGGGATTACAAGTATGGACCCCTTGGCCTGACTTGCAGTATGTCTTAGACACTGGGAAAGTCCATAGTCATACAGAAGGTTCTTCGGAGCCTCTTATAAAAAGAATACAGCTGCAGAGTCCCACAAAGAAAAGCCTGTGTGTTTTCTCTCCAGCATCCTCAGCGGCACTGAAAACAGACCTTCACCACAATGAACAGAACTTATCTGCACATTGCTCTCCAATTATAACGTAGGCTTCAGAGTGTTCACAGCCAGCAGGGGAAAGCCACTTAGCAAACAGAATGAGTCCTAGACAGCAGCACCGTTTTCACACTTGGGAACCTGGTTTAAAGTCTTGTGAATAAAGAGACATGCGAAAAGAATAGTGAGAAGATGTCAGCACGGGTGTCAGCTGACCTCACCATAAATGTCTTCCATGAGAACACTGAATTTCCATTGGGAAATTATGAAATGGAGGCTGGACAGTGCCACTTAAGACCGGGAAAGATCAAATTAAGAGGATGGGAGCAACATTTCAGAGAGAAAGGCAATCCCAAGAGTCCTACCGTGTTATCATGGCCTTGCCACTATTCCTAGAGACTCAGCAAGTCAGAGAGGCCTGGGTAAACGAGAATACTAATGCCCTTCAGTTCACACGGAGCAAGCATGCTAAATAAGATGCAGTACTGTCTCCAACACTGCTGAGAATCGATAGCATTTTACATGCCCACCCTGTCCTCCCCTGTAGCAAAGCAGATTCCATACTCTGAAGCCAAACTAAACACCTAAGCATTCTGAACACAGGACAGCAGAGGTATACAAAATTAAACAAGAAATGACAGAGAGTAAAAATGAGGGGGAAATAAAAATTCAAAAATCTAGTCAAAAGTAAAAGTTTTTTTTAAAAAATTGCTAATAATTAGAAATTGGGGCTTGTTTATGGTCTCTGGGAAGGAAGATGGAAGCAGGGAAGAAGGATGCATCAGTCAGAATTTAAATGACAAAGTCAAACCTGGATGCTTACAGGCTGTGTCCTTGACGAAGTAGAAAAAAGTGCAGCCAACAAAGGGAGAGCACAGAAGCTTCCTCCTGATTCTGATGTTGAGAGAAGAGTGAGATGTCTCCCCAACAATCTGTAATCAGAAGTCATGCGCACCTTAGGTTTTAGGTCTAATTTTATACTTTCTCTGAGATACCCCCAATGCATACACCGTGTGTGTGTGTGTGTGTGTGTGTGTGTGTGTGTGTTGCGTATCCCAAAAGCAATACATTAAATCAATACCATTTATCTTAGAAACAAATCTAAATCCTCTAATGAGGAATGACTCCTCAAACTAGACATTCTCACAAAGTCCTAGGAAAATTAATTCATAATTAAAAATTAAATTATATTCAAAAGTGAGCTATGAGCAATAAGAATCAACAGAGCCCACTACACAGATTATCAAAACATCATATGCTGAAATTAATGAAATCAAAATAGAAATCCTGTGTTAAAAGCCTACAATCCTAACAAGGAAAAGGATGCAAGAAGATCCCAGGGTGGGGTGGGCAGAGAGCTGTTGGTGGTCACTCAGCATAGTGAATCAGAGAACTCTAGGTTCATAAGGGAAAACCTCTGGACAACACACAGGCTTACACCCTCCCCGACACACACCACACCCAAACATACATGCACACACACTACTGAGTGGGAACTATAGCTCAGTTACTAGGGTGCTGGCCTAGCATGTACACAGCCCTTGGTTTGACTACCAGCACCACACAAAGCTGGAAGTGGTGGTACAGGCCTGTAATCCCAGTATTGGGGAGGCTGAGGGAGGAGGGTCAAGAGTTAAAGGTTATCCTTGGCTACATAGCAAGTTTGAGATCATCTAAAAAAAAATGTTGCCAAGGGAATTGAATATGTAGGGCAAGAGCAGGATGCCATGAAGAATGAAATGAATTTGAACTAGAACAAAACCAGTTCCATGACTGCATACAAAAAAATGCAGAGGGCCACAAAGAGGAGGTGACCTGGGGAACTAGGATTCAGTCGTAGATATAACCAAACTGCCACAGGCATCCCCAAATTGGAATATACATACATACATACATACATACATACATATATTACACTATATTTGTAATACTATATGTGCATATATAAACACATATATGTGTAATATAGTATAATACATATTATATATAATAAATAATAAGAGGTAAAATTATAAAGCATAAAAATAAAACAGCAATGAAGATAACATAAATCCTATAAGAAGCAAATAGTGAAGTTGGAGAGAAAGAACAGGTGAAGAAGTAACACCTAGGTCTTTCCAGAAATGGTGATTTTGTGAAACAGTCTCCACAGACTTGTGCTTCAATGCTTGTTCTCCAGCAGGCGGTGGCAGGCTGGGGACCTGCTGGGGCCTTGCTGGTAGAAGTATGTCTCTCTAAAACCATGAGCCCAAACAGGACTTCTTTCCCTTTAATCTGTCACTGAGACATGCAAGTAACTAATGCAGATGACATTCAAATTCCAGACAGTAAAACAAGCAGGATTTCACACACACACACACACACACACACACACGGTGGAGAAAGAGAGACAGAGACACAGAGAGATCGCTAGGCATATAATATACTACAATTTGAAAATTTGAAAAATAAAGAGAAGATTTCCTGTAGCCAGACAAAGCAGTTTGATGACTAAAGTGGAAAGAACACGAGAGAGGAAGGCTAGGCGAGGAGGAAGGGACTGGAAATGCGAGCAGTGTTACAGAATAGGGAAGATGAAAGAGGCAGAGGAGGAACAGCTGAGCCCAGCTAAGTGGACTCTGGTGAGGGGTAATGCTGGGTGAGAATGCTCCTGAGATGCAGCCAGACCTGATACTGACATCAAGGTTGAAAGGCTAAGGGTTCTCAAATGGATAGGATCTTTGATTTCTAACCAAGCAGATTAAAGTCCTCCTTGATATAGGTTTCAGGACTCCCAAGTATCAATTCAATATATTTAGATCCCATAAATAACATTTGCAAACACCTCAGGGAACAAGGAGCAAGAAAACCCAGTAGAACACAGCAGACCTGGATGCCCATGGACTTCATATGTTAATTGGCATCAGATATTTAAACTAAATCATCACCTCTGGAATGTTTAAAATACATACAGTAGTTAAAAATCACAAAGAAACTGCAATGGAATAGTGTGTGACTTAACAAAAAGAAGAAGATTCTAAAATATGCGACATCAAGAGTAAGCCTTGATTATGCTAATTATAGCAAGCCAGGCACAAAGGTACTCCACTATTCCATTTCTATAAAGGACCCAGAGCAAGCGGATTCAAAGAGGTCGGAGAAGGATGATGTGGGTACAAGGAGAGCAGCCAGCGGCTAATGGCCATACATTTCATATACAAAATACAAAGTTTTGTACAATAATAGAAATGCACTTAATATAACAGTGCAATAAACTTGAAATGATTTCAAGATGGTCAATATTATCTTTTATCACAATACAAAAGAATAAATCATGAATAAAATGGTACTATAAATGAGATTAAGCAGCCCCAAAGGATAACAAAGGGAATTCAGGAAAATGGAAAGTAAAGTTATTGAACTTCACAGAAACGTTAAGAGTCAATAAATGAGATAAGCTTCCTATTAGATGTAGCCAAAGATACAGCCTATATTTAAAATCACACAAACAAAAGGAAAATACAAGATGGGTTTTCAAAGGAATAAAAGAAGAAAGTGGTAGCAGATGCCTTTAATTTCAGTACTGGAGAGGCAGAGGCAGGCGGATCTCTGTGAGTTCGAGATCAGCCTGATCTAGAGTGGGTTAAAGAACAGCAAGGGCTACATAGAGAAACCCTGTCTTGAAAAAACAAAAACAGCAAACAAAAAAAGAAATGGCAAGAACTGAGGCGAGCGGGGAACAGAATGAGATGATGTGAAACGAGAATTGAGGCGAGCGGGGAACAGAATGAGATGATGTGAAGCAAGAATTGAGGCGAGCGAGGAACAGAATGAGATGATGTGAATGGAGCGTTGGCTGGGATTTTACTAGAACTGGCAAAGGATACAAAGAGGTTGACACAGGAATCATAGTGCACACCAAGAGGGATGTAGAACAATAAAGAAATATGGAGATATTTACAAAAAGAAAGAAACAAGAGAGAAAGAGAGAGACATCAGACTTCTAAAAAGGTCTAATGGGGAAAGACGCTTAAAGCAAAGTGCCTTAAAACAACCAGGAAGTAAGGATGCAAGTGCCACAGAGTGACAGACTCCCCAGAGACTTCACCTCCCCTCACCAAGTCATCACTGACACACTCCCGGTGTGCGCACATGGGTACCAGCACAATCGGTTTGAAAAACGAGCCATTTAATAAAGCATGAGCATAGCCAGCGATTAAATTCCATTAAAGGAAATACAACCCAAGCCAGCTTTGATGTGTGTACCAAGAGGCATGCAAGCACTCACAGGCGCACTTCTTATGGTCACAGTTGATAAATAAACCAGAGGGGTACACTCTTTGTACTTAAATACTTAAAATAATTAATAAAATAGAACACTGTCACCATGATTCAAATCACTTTGAATAAATATCACAAATATCAGGTTAAGCAAATATCCGTATAATATTAATCATACAAGGTTCAAAGTTTTGTAAGGTTAAGAAGGACTACTTTAACACAGAAGGAGGAAAATCCACACTATTTAAAACACTCCTGCTCATGAGGATTTCTATAGCACATCTACATCACTTGGTAAATTGCAGAGGAAGTCTAATTACATCTTGTCTGAAAGATAAAAGACAACTCTAAGTGTTACCAAGTTCCAAAAGAGCATGCGGTACCCAGAGGCAAACTGGAAAATACTTGATTCCCCCTGGCCTTGCTTCAGGGCAATGACGCTCATACACTAGCGGGGAGGTAGCCTGGGTGCCTTTATCAGCAAAGCCAAAAGGAGGAGATGCACAGGGAACTATACCCAACGGTCAGAAAACAGTCTCAAAAGGAGAGATCAGCTGCCTAAACAGCAAGTCTAGAAAGTGGGCCTTAGAAGGCTCCTTTTGAAGACTAGGACTCCATGAAAGGAAGAGAAACTGCTAATTGTTCAGCGCTGAACCTGCAGGGCCTTCCGTGACTGTATCTCTTCGCGTCCAGAGCCCTATAAAGGAATGCATTTCTAGAAAGCAGTGGGAGAACACTATGTGGAAGCTGATCTGGCAGATTTGCACAGTATCCTCCAGTCTAGGAAACACCAACTGAAAAGACTTCCCACGGAGACGCTGGTCAGCACTCAGGCTTAGAATATCAGGGATCACAGGCTTACGGGCTACCAACATTTTTCTTAAAAACTTGATATCTCAATATGGAAAATATATCAGTTCCTTAGAAGGAGTTCCTTCCAAACCACCCACTATTGGTGTCTAGGGAACAACTGGGAGAGCAGTGAGCTATAATTATGTTAATTACAGCAAGCCAGGCACAAAAATGCCACACAATTCCATGTATGTAAGGGACCCAGGGTCTTAACATCGGGAATCACCTCACTCCCCTCCATTCACTATTTGGAGAATTAGACACAGTCTCCAAGCTTTGGCCTTTGGCTCACAGCTTATAGACAGGGTTAGTTATCTCTTCCTCCCTCCCTCCTCCCTTCCCTCTCCTTCCCCCCTCCTTCTCTCTCTCTCTCTCTCTCTCTCTCTCTCTCTCTCTCTCTCTCTCTCTCT